ATTTTATTAACAATAAATTTAGAACAAGAAATTCATATCTTGTGCCGAAATGCATTTGTCGAAGTCAAACGTTTGGGCTCCAAGATGGCGGACGAGTCAGCTCCCCTTTATCTAGTAGCTCTAGCGCCGGATTCGAACGCGGGGGCCGCGGCGACCGCGCGCGGAAACGTCCCCGGGGGCACCAATCGTATTAAAGATTTTGCAACAGTTGCAGCCAATGGCCGCGCTCAGCAGACACAACTGTTGAGTGAGCGCTCGGTACGGATTGGTTAATACTTTTAGATCCAGCCAATCATGTTAGGTAATGATTGAGCGTTCGGTTGTGCCTGCTGAACGCGGCCAATTATTTGTGCGCGTCCCACCGCCCTCTCCAGCGTGCGCGGTCGGAAGTAATGGAAGTTACGGCGAATCCATGTAAACACAAGTGCGCCTGATTTCCCGGCGATTTGTATATTAATTCTGTCGAGCCTTCGCACCTCGAGATATCCGCGAGTGCGCCGAGCCCGGTAAGACTGCGCTCTGTAACCTCAGGTTTGTTTTCTATCGCTGCGCTGGTGAATTAGTGCGGTAAGCTAGAATGGGAAAAAAGTATATATACTTGTCCTGCTCTAATTTATTGCGTGTAGAAGACAAGCCTTTCGCTGTGAGGACGGTTTGATTTTCGTGCGGTGTTTCGCGCGGTGGCGAGCACTAATCATTGCGTTTTTCCAGAGTAAACACGCTCTCGCGAATAGTCGACGGAGAATCGTGTGCACTTTGCGGACGAAGCGACGTTCGCGCGACACGTCTGCGCGGGGCGCAGACCCGAAGACCAGGTCGCGTGGAGTTTCGAATTTCCCACAGTTATGGCAGTCGCGTATCCCCGTTGCTTCAGGTACTGGCTCGCCGCGGGATCGCCCAGAGGAAGGCGTGTCGGCGATGAAAAGCGGCGTGTCCCTGCGTCGGACGCTCCCAGGGGATTTCCCTCCGAGGACTCGTGTGCAAACCGCTCGTTTGAACTCGCTCAGACCCGGTTTCAACAAACGTCACTTAGCTTTAGTCTCAGTTTAATTCACGCTTGTCCCTTTCTGAGGCAACACCCAGCGAGAAGTGCATTGTCGGTCGATGTTGAAACAATGTCGAATCAACGTTGACACCGTCAAATTGATGCTTGACGAGTCGTTTCTCCCTGGGCAGTTAGGAAGAGACGGAATGAATTAAGCTAAACTTAAAGTTGATGAAACCGGGACTAAGGTTAAGATTAAAGTTAAGTGACGTTTGTTGAAACCGGGTCCAAGTCCTGGTTTCAACAAACGTCACTTAGCTTTAATCTCAGTTTAATTCACGCTTGTCCCTTTCTGAGGCAACACCCAGCGAGAAATGCCTTGTCGAATCGACATCGACACCGTCAAATTGATGCTTGACGAGTCGTTTTTCCCTGGACAGCTAGGAAGAGACAGAATGAATTAAGCTAAGCTAAGCGACGTTGGTGAAACCAGGCGGCTCGGATTTAGACCTGATTTCACCAAACGTCGCTTAACTTTAATCTTAGTTTAATTCACGTTCGTCTCCTTCTAAATTAACAGTTGGAAAGAGACAAAGAATGAATTAAACTAATTGTAAGCTTAAAGTTGAACAACGTTGGTGAAACTGGGACCAAGATTAAGATTAAAGTTAAGTGATGTTTGTTGAAACCGGGTCTAAGTCCTGGTTTCAACAAATGTCACTTAACTTTAATCTCAGTTTAATTCACATTTGTCTCTTTCTGAGGCAACACCCAGCGAGAAATGCCTTGTCAAAACAATGTCGAATCGACATTGACACCGTCAAATTGATGCTTGACGAGTCGTTTCTCCCTGGGCAGTTAGGAAGAGACAGAATGAATTAAGCTAAGCTAAGCGACGTTGGTGAAACCAGGCCTTAAGCGGCTCGGAATTGGACCCGATTTCACCAAACGTCGCTTAACTTTAATCTCAGTTTAATTTACGTTCGTCTCTTTCTAAATTAACAGTTGGAAAGAGACAAAGAACGAATTAAACTAAGCTTAAAGTTGAACAACGTTGGTGAAACCGGACCTTAGTTAATCTTGATGGTTGTTAATTATTCACTGGACTCTCGAGTGCGCAGTCGCGATTATTTTGATTTTCACCGACGCCGTTTAACTTGATCTTACAATTAGTTTACGTCATCGACTCTTGTTTCTTTCTAGAGGACAATTAGAAAGAGACGAAGGATGAACTGAACAAAGATCAAAGTTAAACGACACTGGTGAAAACGAGCGTTAAATTTTCTACTTCACAAACTCTTCCTATCTAAATTATCAGCTCATAGAATTCACCCTGCGATCAGACTCTCGTTAGAGAATGCTCATCTCATTCGATACACTTTTTGTGTCAATCCTGGCTGTAGAATCCCGGTGCAGAGTTCGAAATTTTAACAAATTAATTACTTTGTTACGCGATAAATACAATATTTCGTTATAAAAATATTATAATCGCTTAATATGAAACATGTAAAACGTGTTCCTCTTTATAGCTTGCTTTATACCTATTTTATATTCTGCGCCTAGAGGTTTACCGCCTTGTATTCTGTTGGTTCTACATTTAAAAGATTCGAGAATTATTTTTGCAAACGCACAAGCCGACAGATACTTGCGTAGCGGCCGACACTCGCAGCGTAACGTTCGGTGTACGGTGCATTAATTCGGTTTGAATAATAATTAGGGACGGGCAAAAAATTACTTGATTATTTAATCATAGATGCTTTTTGATGATACGATCCGAACTGAATTAATGCACCGTATCTAAAGATTGTAAAATCGGTTGCGCGCACGTTTGCACGGGTTTTTTTTTCATCTAATCGTCAGTGACGCGATACCGGCGCTTGTACTATGATCGTTGCTACGGGCACCTCGTCTCATCAGTCGTGCGAACAATCGTGTCTGGTGCTGCGCGTTTGGCTCTGCCATTCTCTCCGACGAGACACCGCCTCGCTTTTGTCGCGTTACCCACGGAAAAGTAGCCCGTGAAAAGTGATTATGAGCAATGTCTTCAGTATAACTCGGTAAATCACGAGACAGTTTCCTCCGCGAGCGAATAAAGCCTAAGGCGACGATACATGGACGTCATTCTATAAATAATAATACGTAATCTACAGCCTTGGACAAAAATCATTAGGCACTGTTACAATCATTAGGCTACACCGAGTCTAATGTCAGAAAAGATTTTTATTGTTTAAAAGTTGTTTACTGCGTAGAAGCAATGAACGCTTTAGCAAATAACTTATAAATATTAGAAATCTTCTTGATATTAGATTCAGTACGGTATAATGATTATGAGGATGCTTAATAATTTTGATATTGTATGTGATAGTTGAAGCTGATATAACCGCCATTATTTTCTTTTATGTAATGATTTTCTCTTTTGCAGTATTTATGTGTTGTTAAAGTGAAAGTGGTCGCAACATGAAGTAGCAACAATTTGTAAGTTCACGAAGACCATTGGTTTGCATGTCGTTTTTTAAAGTCGGAGGAAAGCAAAGCATGATTAACTCCTGTTGCGAAAAACGATCAACATTTCAAGAAATTTCGCTTCATTTCCGTCATAGTTTTATATATACATATATTTATTATATATATATTCTAAATAATTTATTAAGCGAATCGTTGAATATTTTGAGACTTGTAGAATGAAATGAATCATTGAGGGTTTTAAATGTTGCAGGGTGGAAAATGAAATGATTTTAAACGAATAATATCTTGTTGCCCGACACTACACCTTCCAGCTGAAATCAACTTGTATCTGATGAGATTGGGCTGATCCAAAGTTTTTTCTTTGCAGCGAGTATTACCGGAACTTGTTGCAACAGTTCGCGAGCCACTGTCAGACGCCTAACGGGGACATCACCGATCCGGACTGGGTTGACTACCTGCCCAAGGAGGAGAACACCGAGCAGTCCTCGCAGAAGGACAATCGAAGGCCGCGGAGACCCGCGCAGTTTATACCAGGCGTGCCGCATATACAGGCCTCCAAGATATTCGAGATCGGGTGTGTCGCGGGCACGGAGAACAAGTGTCTCGAGCTGGTTTCCGCGGAATGGCACACCACGAGGGTGACGCTGAAGCGACACATCTTACCAACGTGTCGCGACGCGATACGGGCGGACGTGGAGATCCTTCGGTAGGAGCCGCTCTGTCTCCGCCCGTTTCCACCAATGCAGATTAACTTTAATCTCTACTCGACTTACTTTTCATCTAATTTTTATCTATCTTCTTTTTTCTAATTCTTAGAACTAGAAAAGGATGAAAAGTGAGTTGAAGCGAGATTCAAGTTAATCCACATTGGTAGAAACGGTCATAAGTGACGTAAAGAAAGAAAACACGTTCTTAAGATAATAAAATAAAAATGTACGAAGGAGTCACTGGGCTAAGAGTCAAAATTCGTTTTTCAATGGTCATTATATTAAAATGAATATTAGTTGTAATTTTGGAAAATGGTATAATCAAAGTATCCTGTCTGCTTTATATAACATGATTGCAATCTTGGCAATTTCAGTAAAATTTGGCATCCCAACGTACTGCTGCTGATGGCCACGACGTATACGCGCGAGTACGGCCTCGTCTCCGTCTTCGAGCCAATCGACTGCTCGTTGTACAATTACATGCACGAGCAAAACGAGCGAATAAGCGTGCAAGGAGTCATGCAGATCGGCATGAAATTGGCGGACGTATTGCAATACTGTCACACGCGTGGATACATTCACACAGCGGTTAGCTCGCACTGCGTTTACTTTACATCTGATGGGACTGTCAAACTTGGCGGATGGGAGCTGGCCAGAGAAATTGGCAAAGTATGTGGAATTTAAATTTTCTCTACGCCCCACTGTGTTCTCTAAAATGCTGCGATGCAGTTTTACCTTAACATATACCACGTGTAAATGTAACATTTTTCAAGTGTCAATTGTTTCGAAGTAAAGGTATCTTTTTGTAAGTGATCCAATTAATTTGCGAACATAAAATTTATATAAATTTTTACAAGTAGAACGTTTTATATATATATTTCTACATAATTTAAATTTGCCACAAGTAACTTTATTATTATTTTACGTATTCCTCTTTGGTGATGAAATAGATGTGCGTAATTTTTGTTCGCGTTTGTTAGCCGAGTGCACTTTTACGAATTTAAGGTCGTTCGTTAGCAGATGTAAAAAGTTCACAGGCAGAATAGACTGTAATGAAACGGATCACGTCATATCCGCGATTCCGCGACACACCCATGAGCGTTTCACCAACGGAAACGACCGGCATTGTTTTCGACAAAATGTTCGTTTCTGAATAAATTCGCTGTACCGTGTCGATGTTAATCGCACGCGCCGTCTGGAACGCGGAACTCTTGTAAATCGTAATCACAATTAAATATAGATTTATTTTCTGTGATAAAGATTGTACTTACGTTATAGAACCGCGAAGAAATTTTATTGCCAAGATGAATGAGAGACGGAGGATCAAATTTTAAGCTACTATATTTGCGATTAATTGCATTTACAATCAAGTATTGATTACGATTTTTTTTCATTGTAATCCTAACAATTTTGCAAATTTATATTGCAGTTTCATTAATGTATAAATCAATACGGAATTTGTTTCTAACATTGTTTTCTCGTATAATGTAATATTTAAATTACTCTTTTCATTTTTAGGTTTACGTGGAACGCGATTTCGAAAAATATCTGCGCTTAGAAAATTTTAAATGGCAAGCACCGGCGTTGTGTTACGGGCACCATCCCAATACAAAAATCGACGTTTACGGCTTAATGCTATTACTTTGGGAAATGTGCACAGGCGAGTATATTAATATAATTTTGCTGCCCTTTAACTGTAAAGCAATTGTAACATTTTTATAGTAAAATATTGAAATTGCATTTATTGCATAATAAAATAACGATTATTATTTAACATTCCACAGGAAGTGTACCGTGGAGCGGATACGATCAACAAAATGTAGAACGGCAGCACATGATGCGAAAACGAGATGTTATTATAAACTTACAAAATGTCCCATCGATTCTTCGTGGCCTATTGGAAGCTGGATTGCATCCTGATGAGACGAAAATAACATTGGACATGGACAAAATAGGAAAGAAGCTTCATAGGCTGCTGGTAAATTTACATGAGCAATAAGATGTCTTAGAATTTGCGCGTCCTCTGTCGTATTGTATTGATTCTTTGTGCAGTAATTCGTCAGACTGCGTCGTTACTAACAATCTTATCAATGTTTTAAGATGGTATACAAGGAGGATGAGAAGAACGAGACATTTGTAAACGAAAACAATAATGATCTTTTATATAATGATACATTGTATCAAAAGATTTCTCCTGTGTCGCCTACACAAAGCAAAG